ATGGGGATTTGGAAATTTTTCCTCTAAATCAAAGTCTGTCTTGCTCCTATTTGATGGAGTTAAGAAAGCAGGCCTGGTGTCCCTCCTGAGAATGTGTGGATGAGCTGTGCAGGTTGCTCTGTGATCCCACTTTTTGGTTGAAGGGGCTGGACAGCAGGTCTGGGATGGACAGCTTTTATTTAACCAGCACAGTTGGTCACTGGGTGCTTAAAATGGGTAGCCATTTTGAGGCTCAAAATCCAAAGTGGAGGCAACATTTACCCTTTACTTTTTTTTTTTAAAGACTTGTTTATTTAAGAAAAGTTTTAGGTATACAACAAAATATAGAGGAAGGTACAAGATTTCCCATATATCTACTGCCCCTGCACATGCATAGCCTTTGCTGTGATCAATGTCACTCACCGGAATGGTACATTTTATTATTTACCAAGAATGAACCTACACTGACACGTGATAATTATGAAAGTCCATAGTTTCCTTAAGGGTCACTCTGGGTGTTGTACATCCTATGGGTTTGGACCAAAGTAAAATGACATATATCCATCATTATAATATCACACAGATTATTTTCACTGTCCCCCAAATCCTCGGTGCTCTGCCTGTTCATCTCTCTCCCCTTACTCCTGGCAATCACTGACCTTTTTATTTTCTTCATAGTTTTGCCTTTCCAGAATACCATATAGTTGGAACCATACCATATGTAGTCTTTTTAGATTGGCTTCTTTGACTTAGTAATATATATTTATGCTTCCTCCATGTTTTTTCATGGCTAGGTAGCTCATTTCTTTTTAGTGCAGAGTAATGGCCCATTGTCTAGATGTACCACAGTTATTATCTATTCACCTAATGAAGGACATCTTGGTTGCTTTCAAAATATGGCAATTATGAATAAAACTGCTACAAACATCTGTGTGCAGGTTCTTGTGTAAACAGAGTTTTCATTTTCTTTGGGTAAATATCCAGGAGTGTGATTGTTTGATCATATAGTGAGAGTACGTTTAATTTTTCAAGAAACCACCAAACTGTACCATTTTGAATTCTCACCAGCAATGTATGAGAGTTCCTGTTGTTCCATATCTTCACTAGCATTTGATGTTAGCATTCTGCATTTTGGCTATTCTAATACATGTGTAGTGGTATCTTGTTTTAAGTTGCATTTCCCTGATGACATATGATGTGGAGTACCTTTTCATATGCCTGTTTATTTGTATATCTTTGGTAAGTTATCTCTTATAGTCTTTGGCTCATTTTTAAATGGGTTGTTTCTTTTCTTACTCTTAAGCTTTAAGAGTTCTTTGTGTATTTTGGATGACAGTCTTTTATCAGATGTTCTTTTGCAAGTATTTTCTCCCTGTCTGTGGCTTGTCTTCTGGTTGTCTTGACACTGTCTTTAGCAGAGCAATAGTTTTTTATTTTTAATCAAGTCCAGCTTATAAATTACATCTTTCATAGATCATGTCTTGGTGTTATAGCTAAAAATGTCATCACCAAACACAAGGTCATCTAGATTTTCTCCAATGTTATCATCTAGGGTTTTTGTAGTTTTACACCTTGCATTTAGGTCTATAATCCATTTTGAGTTAATTTTGATGAATAGTGTAAGGCGTATGCCTAGCATTATTGTTTTGTGTGTGGTTATCATTGACCCAGCACAATCTGTTGAAGAGACTATCTTTGCTCTATTGTATTGCTTTTGCTCCTGGTCAAAGATCAGTTGAATCTATTTATGTGGGTCTATTTCTGGGCTCTCTGTCCTGTTTCATTGATGGGTTTGTCTACACTTTCACCAATACCACACTGTCTTGATTACTGTAGCTTTATAGTAAATCTAAAGTGACATTTACTCCTTTTAAATTCTAAAAAATCAGCTCAGCAGCAAAGTACACATAGCCACTTCAACAGTCAGAGGGAGAAGGAGACACTTGGCAGTTTACATCTGATTTCAGTCTTTATCATGGTGGAACTGGCTCAGACAGGCTCATCAGAATCAACTGTATATCTCTTCCCAATCCCATGTTCAGCAACATCATATTGGTAACTTAAAATTGGCCATTGTAGAAATATTTGTACTACAAAAATTGGCAAATGCTACAAATCAGGACTTGTTTTTTTTTTCCCTTTTCTTTTCTTCAGAGGACCAGTTGTTAAATATTTTCCAGCATAACATTGGCTTTATACCTGATTTCTTCTTCCCTTTAATGTTTTATCATCAAATTCCTCCTTGTCATAGCTAATGTTTGTTCATCACTTTCTATGAGTTAGGCACTGTGTGAAGATCTTTCACATGTATTCTTTTATTTAATTCTCCCAAAAACCTCAGGAGGTAGGCCTGGGACTGAAAGATGCTGAAGAGACCAGTGAAGGACAGATTTTATTTTACAGGTACAATTTGCAAATAAGTAAACTGAGGCTCAGCAAGGTGATATAATTTTTCTGGGGTCACATATCATGTTAAGTAGACTGGGGGCTGAAACTTCCACTGACTCATGCTTGGAACCTCTATCATAGAAATCTGTTCTAGGCTCTAAATCATGACACTTCAGCTCTAGTGTACTGTCTGCACCCAGCCTGACACACGACCTCTCAGACTCTCAGTGTCTTCATCTATACAATGAGACTGGTGATAGTTATCCTGCCTAGCTCACAGGATGGCTTTACCATTTAAATGATAGTTACACAAGATTGCTTTGGAAAGCTCAAGTATTATATAAATGGGAGATATCTTTCCATGCTAAGAAGTAAGGGAAAAAATATTCACAAAAAGAATACCACATCCCAATTTAGAAGATTCAGCTGAATTGGGTATTTGATACAAGGAATTTTACAGTGGATGTTTCTGGGTGAGCTGTCAGGACCTTTGATTTGGGAATGTTTGAACTTACATCTTGGAGTTCCTTGGCTTTGGGTCTTCCTAACCTTTTCAGACAGTTTGACTGGTGATCAAGGTAGCCCTAGTTTCATGGGCAGATTTGGATAGCGTCAAATTATTAACAAGATGGGTCAGTGCTAGAAAGTTGGCATTTAATAACTTTAGGGAGAATTTCTGCCATATTATCTCCATGTTTTAATAAAGAGGTTCTTTTGCTGTTCACGTAGCTACTTATACTTCTCACTTTCAGCATATCTCATTGTAGTTACTTATTTAAGGCTTATTTTCTGCACTGTACTGAACTCTCCATGATGTCAAATAACCATTTGATCACTAGAAAACCCCACCACAAATACTGAGACTGGCAGCTAGTACTGCTTCATAAATATCTACTGAGAAAGTACGTGGGTGGACTAACTACATGGAACTCTTGTAGTGTTCATGTCTTTCTTGTGCCACAGTTGTCCATCTGCAAGCTTTGGAAAGTTCTTTAATTGAAGTTGGACCAAGTGTTCAGGACAAGGCCAGCCATGGGATGTTTCCTGCTGCAGTTCCTCTGTGTGCTCTCGGGATATCAGAGGCATTTGGCAACAGTAGGAAAACCTCCAGCTATTCCTTAACTTATTCAGTCCAAGACCCTTACTGTGTTATGCAAGACCTACTTTGACCTGTTTCCACCCATGATGCCTGCCATCTTGCTGTCCCCACTGTGTGGAGTGATCCATAATTCTTTTGCCTGGCCAACTCTTACTCACTCTTCAAGAGTAGGTTTGGGTCTTTTCCCCTCAGGAAATTCTCTCCAAATTATATGGGTTGAGATTAGGTTCTGTTTTCACTCACCTATGTATTCCTTGATCTTAAGTTTTGATATATTGAAATTATCTCTTAATGTTTCCACCCACCCATGAGAGTATAACTCCTCAAGGGCAAAGACTGCTTTTTCTTCCAAAGTTGAAATGAGTTTCTATGTCTGGCATGAATGGGATGTTCAGTAAATGTTTGATGAACTGAAATGACTAATTCCAAGTGAAATTTCATTTCCCAGAAGGAGCAAGTCAGTGAGATGAAATGTGAACCCTTTGTTTAGTAGGGTGACAGTCCTTCAAGTGACCAAGCATGATCCTCTTCCCACCAGCTAGGGCTGAAGTGTGGAGCATCAGGTTATAGGTTCAATGTTGGAGTTAAATCTATGTTTGAGCAGAGGGTGCAATTTCAGCCTCACTATATTGGTTTATTCAGTCTTAAGAGAGAAGAGAATCATAATTTTCTATCCACATCCTCCAGATTGGGGGAAGGGATGATTATTAGTACAGACTGTAGAAGATGCAGGAGGACAGAAATATTTACTTACTTTGTCTTTGGAAAATCTGAAAATCCTCACAAGGTTGTACTCAAGATTTCATGAAAGAGGCAGGGCTGATGGCGGTGATTATCAGGGAGACGTAAGCCACACCATGCTTCAGTGCCGCAGTTTCCTCTTTTGGAATAATAGATCTTTCAGTGGGAGCGGAGGATATTTATTTTCATTTCAGTGGTCTTAAATATGAGTTTTATTATAGGTAATAAAAAGCCCCAATTAATTATCAGTTCCTAGACAGTCAATTAGCCACATTCCCTAATAGCATCATATCTGTGCACTATTTATAACAGGCCCTTATTTCTTTTAACTACTCTCATTCCATTAGTTTGCTGAATTAATGTACAAGTACATACAATGGTTACATAGGTTGTATTAAAATGCCTGATCAGATGTGATTTTTAAACAAATGGTGTGAATCCATTTCAGATGAGCTTTCCAAATGTTCATGTCTGATTTAACTTACCATTGATAGTAGTCTTTCTAATTCTTCTTCACTGATTGGAAATACAATGACTCCCAAATTCTGTCTTCTGCATTTCCATCCACTGGGCAGTAGTGAGAAGAGTGATTTCTTTTGTAAATGTGGTGGATCAGCAGCTCTCAACATGGTCAAAAGAAGTGTATTTGTGAAAGTTTCACTTGTCATTCTGATCTGCAGCTAGGTGATAACATTGGGGTCTTAGTTTGGGCTGCTTTAACAAATATACCATGACTAGGTGGCTTAAACAAAAACAGTTTTTTTTCTCAGTTCTGGAGGCTGGTAAGTCTAAGATGCCAGCAGATCCAGTGTCTGGTGAGAATCCTCTTCCTGGTTTGCAGATGACCCTCTTCTTGTATCATCACATTGCAGAGAGCAAGAAGAGTTAGCTCTCTTCCTCTCCTTAAAAGGATGCTAATCCCATCATGGGGCTCCATCCTCCTGACCCAACTGCCTCCTACAGGCTCCATCTCCAAATATCATCACAATAGGAATTAATGTTTCAACATATGAATTTTAGGGGGATATAAATATTCAGTCTACAATAATTGGGTTAGAGAATTCTTTCTTTCTTTCTTTCTTTTTGACATGGAATGAGTGCAGGGCAGTGCTTCAAAAACTATTCTCTTCCTATAGATGAACAATGGTAATACAGCAAATAAAATGCAGTTATCTAGGCACTTAGTGAGGTTTCTCATATGCAACTTGGGACATCTTATTAAATTAGAAAGCAAAGAATAATTACTCTGATAATCATTTAAAAAGTAATACTTCTATCATACTTGTTACAACTCCCAACTAAAATGACTATTTTAGTTCTTTTGTCTAATAAATCCTTTCTAATATCATTACTAAAACTTAGATTAATCTGAACTAGACTATTATGATAAAGTTACATCTTCTATGTATTGTCTCAAGAAGTTAGAAATATCATTTTAGACACACTATCAATAATTTTATAGCTTCCTATGAGAAAAATAAGGAGAAACAATTGTTTTATTGATACTAACCAGAAGTTCTAATAACAGTAAGTAAAAGTGTTCAAAATTGCAACTAGATGCCTGGTAGGTAACAAGTTAATTATCTGGTAATTTATATGTGAAGCCTAATAATTTGTAATTCAGCTCACATATAGACAGGCGCTGACTTATATTGGTTCAACTTACGATTTTTTGACTTTATGATGGTGTGAAAGTGATACATATTCAGTAGAAACTGTACTTTAAATTCTGAATTTGGATCTTTTCTTGTATGGTCCCATATTGGACCAGTATATGGTCCCAATACTCTCTCGTGATGCTGGGCTGCATTGAGCCAAATGACCAAAAAAAGAGTAGACAACTGATACCCTTCCAGCTATTCTGTACCCATATAACCATTCTGTGTTTTACCTTTAGTACAGTATTCAATAAGTTACATGAGATATTCAACACTTTATGATAAAATAGTGTTTGTCTTAGGTGATTTTAGCCGATTTCTGTCGGCTACTGTAGGTATTCTGAGACATACAAGGTAGGCTAAGCTAAGCTGCAGTGTTCAGTAGGGTAGGTATATTCAATTCATTTTCAACTTACGATAGGTTAATCAGGAAGTAACCCCATCATAAGTCAAGAAAGATCTGTAGATACACCTATTTATATGCGACAAATATAAAATAGTATCTCCAATTCTTCCTCTTAAAAACTAGCAGATACTAGTCGAGAGCTTAGTAACTTCATGGTCCCGATATTAAATATTGTAGTACATTTGTTCATAGGTCAGCAGATGGATATAATTAAGGCTAAATGTACTTATCAAAATAAGTTAACCAAATTGAAACTCTGAACCAGGGAACTTACTCTTCATCTCACTAGATTTGTCTGCCCTTTGAAAGTCTTCCCCATACAAGAATTTGTTAAAGCAGCAGTTCTTATGCTCCTTTATCAGACAGATCTCAGTGTAAAAACACCTCCCCCCCCCACCTGAACAAACAAAACTGGAACATCACCATTGCATTATACCTAGTCCTCACCAGTACTTCAAAGTCTGATTGTTAGAGTTGCTTTTGTTGAAAAAATGTGGGTTTTTTTTTTTTTTTAAAGATTTTATTTATTTATTTGACAGAAAGAGAGAGCACAAGCAGGGGTAGTGGCAGGCAGAGGGAGAGGGAGAAGCAGACTCTCTACCGAGCAGAGATCCCGACATGGGGCTTAATCCCAGGACCTTGGGATCATGACCTGAGCCAAAGGCAGCCACTTAACCAACTGAGCCACTCAGGCGCCCCTGTTTTATTATTTTTTTAATCACAAGTTACTGATTTATGCTAGAGACAGAAGAAAAGATATTCTGTCATTTATGAAACAGTAGCAACTTTTAAAACACTTGACTGCAATCACAACAGGAGGCCTCATGGCTTTTAAGTCTTGACTCTCCATAGAGATTTTCTTTTTTGGGTGGATTTTATAGGAACTCAGGGGCATAAATACAATTATATAACAGTCTGGGGAAGAAAGACTTTTGGTGTTAGCCTCAGATATGTGATTCAGAGGCTAGCAGACTTCTCCATCATTTATTTATTATATAAAGCAATGCTTATTAAGCATTTCTGGTGTGAATGTAGTGCCTCTATGTAACTTACAAGTAAAATCTGCTCCTGAGACTCTATTTATATACTATTAGAAGAGGTGCTGGGGGGATGGTGGGTTCATAACTACAGATGAGTTTCTGGGAACATTCAAGGCATCCAAATCACCTTTGGGATTCCTGTTTTATCTGTGGTTGTGTTATATCTGACTCCTTTTTCCTGCTGGCAACATATTAATGATCTAGTTATCTACAAGTAGTCCCCCCTTTGTTTATTCAGTTGGACTTAAAAGTCCTGTGCCCTCTGAGTAAGATGGTAAGGTAGTGTATGGTAAGGAGCTTCAGCTTCATTTCTCTGGTAGAGTTTCACCTCTGTACTGTGGTGGGCATCATTGGTTATAGGACAACTATTCTTATAACTGACTTGACTATTTTTTCATCTAGCATGATGGGGCGGTACCATTTTGCTTACTCTGGGGAACGGCTATTCACTGTGGATGGGCACCCTTGCACTAGAGGGAACAGTGGACTGAGAATGATACCTGTTACAGTCTTCTCTGAGGGATTTCCCTATTCACCAACTCCTTGTTTTCCCCCATGAGAATCATAATTTCAGTATTCAAATGAGGAAAAAGGACCTTTTGAGGGAATAGGAGATTATTGTCTTTTCTAAAAACTGATTGCCCCCATGGCTTCTGAGGAAGGGAGGGAAGACGTGAATTCAGGGTGAGGAACTTTTGTGACAAACTCTAGAGGATGGTTGTCACTTGCATTAGACATCCCCTTCTTAGCTTCCATTTTGATTATTGAAAAATACCAGAATGAGTTAAATTGGATGGAATCTCAAATTAGATTCATTTGGGGGATAGATGTTGCCAGGATGGCCCGATATGGGGTACTGGATAAGCATCTCAGGTGGGGAACCTGTATCACTTATTTTTTCCCACTAAAAACCTACATTCTTGCTATTTATATGGGTTTTCTTCTCCTTTTCTCCATCTCCTTTGTATCTGGTATTTCTCCCCTCGATTCTTCCTTCTTTCCCAGGTGTGTTTGATAACTGCTCCCACACTGTCAGTGACAAGGGCTGGGCCCTAGGGATCCGCTCAGGGAAGGACATGGGAAGGCGAGATGCTTGCTTCTTCTTCTCCCTTCGCACCGACCGTGTGAAGAAAGCCACCATTGTGACTGGCCACAGTCGCTACCAACCAGGCACATGGACACACGTGGCAGCCACTTATGATGGACAGCGTATGGCCCTGTATGTGGATGGCACTCGGGTGGCTAGTAGTCCAGAGCAGTCTGGTCCCCTGAACAGCCCCTTCATGGCGTCTTGTCGCTCTTTGCTTTTGGGGGGGGATAGCTCTGAGGATGGCCACTATTTTCGTGGACACCTGGGTACACTGGTCTTCTGGTCGACCGCCCTCCCACAAAGCCACCTCCAACACAGTCCTCAGCATCCAACTGGAGTGGAGGAACTGAGCACCCTGATCCTGACAGCCAGTTTTGAGCCCTTGGAAGAACAGTGGGCCCCCTTTAGGGATGGGGAGTATCCACGGCGTGAGGTTCTGCAGGGCTTTGAGCCTGAGCCTGAGATTCTGTCACCTTTGCAGCCCCCACTCTGTGGGCGGACGGTTTGTGACAATGTGGAGCTGATCTCCCACTACAATGGGCACCAGCCCCTCCAGGGAGAGAAGGTGATCCGCTACCAAGTGGTGAACATCTGTGATGACGAGGGCCTGAACCCCATCGTGAGCGAGGAGCAGATCAGCCGGCAGCACAAGGCACTGAACCATGCCTTCAGCCGCTACAACATCAGTTGGCAGCTGAGTGTCCACCAGGTCCACAACTCCACCCTGCGCCACCGGGTTGTGCTTGTGAACTGTGAGCCCAGCAAGATTGGCAATGACCACTGTGACCCTGAGTGCGAACACCCACTGACAGGCTATGACGGGGGTGACTGCCGCCTGCATGGCAGGTGCTACTCCTGGAACCGCAGGGATGGGCTCTGCCACGTGGAGTGCAACAACATGCTGAATGACTTTGACGATGGGGACTGCTGTGACCCCGAGGTGACTGATGTGCACAAGACCTGCTTCGACCCTGACTCACCCAAGAGGTAAGGGACTGGGGCTTGGGGTGTCCTACTTATAGGATGCATTTATTACATCATTTTATGCTTTTGGTTTCTGGAAAGAAAAGGGGGTTCACACAGCCCCCAAATAAAATATCCCTCCCATGAGACATTATTGAGCTTTTGTGAAGTCCTAGGTGTTAGATAATTAGGGACACAGGGATGGCAAAGACAAGGGACAGCCCTCACAGAACTCATTTTCTGTGGAGCAGACAACGTGTACATGGTGTGACATGTACCTGAAGACGTATGCCCCAGGTGCTTGAGGCACAGGAGAGCCAAACAGCTTAGTCTGCCAGAGGAAGCCAGGGGCTCTTCAGAGAGCAAATAAGGTAAACATTGGCAGAAACCAATCAGCACCAATTATACCTGAGTGTTCTTCCTATAGTCGTAGGTTCCCAGCAAAGTAACACAAATCTGTGAAGAGGCCTCATTTGCCTGTGGTCTCTGGTGCAGTTTGGGCTGCTCAGCAGTTTTAGGAACACAAGACATTCTATAACTAACCCCATGTCTCCTTAAGGCGACCACAGTCTTCCTCTTTGCCCTGTTAGATTCCATTCCCTACACAGCATCCAGAAAGATCCTTCGTAAAGGGTAAATCAGAACCTATTACTCCCCTTCTTACTTTCTTTCTCCCCACTGTCCTTAGAATAGAATCCACGTCCCCCACCTGGCTCACAGAGTGTGCTGCAAGCTGACACCTGCCTACCTCCGTGCTTCTTCCCCCAATCACTCTCACACCCTCTCTGTGCAGCCTCTCTCCTGTTCCAATGAGCAGATCAGCTTGTTCTTGCCTGCAGGCTTTGCAATAGCTGTTTCATTTTCTTGGAAATCTCTTTCCCTTGACCTTCCCTTGGTGGGTTTTCTCTTGTCATTTCTATATCGACTGAAATGTCACCTCCTGAAGAGACCTTTCCTGATTTTCCCTAAGTTAAGTAAGCTACTCAATCACTATTATGTCGACTAATTTTGATTCTTTGTGTAACACTCATCCCTTCTAATGTTTTCTTGTACAATAGTTTGTCTTTCTCCTGCCTGAAATGTCATTCCATGAGATCAGGGCCCTTGTTAACCACTACCTACTTAGTGCCTAGAATAGCCCCAACATAAAGTCATTTGTCTCATGTTTATTTTAATGAATTAATGGATCTGATGTGTCTTCTGTTGTGAGACAGAAACCAGTAAGAGGATTTCCATTACAGTCAATGCAGGGGTTGGGGAGTGTTAGAGGGAGGTAAGAAAGGAGAGAGGTGGGTGGTAAACTTGTTAATTTGTGTATGCAGGCAAGGCTTCCTCATGACATAACTGGTACCTTTGTACAAATTATAAAAAGGCTCACATCTGAGCTAGGGTGTAGTGTTGGCGAAGGTGGGAAGACTGGATCTCAGCTTCCACCCAATACCTGGATGGCTGCCTTTGTGTTTCTTGGCCACAATTTGTATAGTAATTTGTGGTATCCCTGTGTGTGGGCAGTCAGTTAACACTAATTAATAGGTCGGCTTGTAGTTCAGGCATGTGATGTTAAAAGACTAAGTGTAAAATTTGGAATCAAGACACAGTTGAATTCGAGAGTCCTTGCTACTTAACTAGCTATATAAACTGTGTAAGTCACTTTCTGAAATTCAGATGTCTTGTCTGTAAAAAGAGGGTGATTGCAGTAATACTTTGCATTACTTATATCCTTGGGCTGTTTTGTGAATCAGATGACATAAGGAATAGAGAAGTGCTTGGGGACTGAAGTTTTCAATGTAAAAAAATTGTCCTAAACTAACATTAATTATTGTCATTATTAGACCTGACAGATGGGAAGCCATTGTTTATATAATAATAATAGGGGAAATTGATCGCATTCCCAGAAATATTCACATAAGAAAGATTCTGTTTGGGTTTGGTTTTTAGATTTTGATAACCTTAAGCAGAAGCTAAACCTCACTAACAACAGTGGTTGCCAACTCTTTGGGGAGACAGGGAAATCTGGCTTGTTCTTACTTTTCTTCTAGCTGATTACAACAACCCACTGCCATGACTGAGAGAGCTGTTGTTCCAGGTACCCAGGCACCATTCTTCTTAGTGGTCCTTTATGTCTCTAAATACCTACAGCTACTACCCTTAACTAGGTGTTTGTAGCTTATTCCCTTTACTGACTCAGAGTTGCCATGGCAACTCATCCCTTCCTAGCCCTAGACCCAGACGTGTTTCAAACCTCCCTACCCCGACATGCAAAATTCACTTTGTGGAATAAAAATGAACTCTTTATGCTTTTTTTTTTTTTATTCTTATGTTAATCCCCATACATTACATCATTAGTTCTACATGAAGTGTTCCATGATTCATTGTTCGTGCACAACACCCAGTGCTCCATGCAGAACGTGCCCTCCTCCATACCCACCACCAGGCCAACCCATCCTCCCACCCTCCTCCCCTCTAGAACCCTCAGTTTGTTTTTCAGAGTCCATCGTCTCTCATGGTTCATCCACCCCTCCGATTTCCCCCGCTTCATTTCTTTATGCTTTTTTGATAGTTAAAAATATTTAAATCAAAGTAATAAATGCTCACGGTTACAAATATCAAACTGTGTCAAAAGACATAAGGAAGAATGGTGGTCTCCGGCCTAACTTTTCCCATCCTTCTCCACCCTCTAGCCTTGCTCCCATACTTGATTATTTTACCTGTCTCTTTTGATAATTACCTCCATGTCTCCAAGTATTGTATTTATATTACTTGATTCATCGATTTTAAACGTTATGCATTGGCTTGCTCTTATGATAAAGAGGAGACTTTAACTTTTATATTGTCTCCTTCTTCTCCCCTCCATCTTTCCAATATAGTTATTTGACTATCTTTAGTTAAATCAGTTATATATATTTACAAGATCATGGCTATGATTTTTTTTTCTTCTGCAGAACAAATTATGATTCTATTATTATATTTCTTTCCTGGTATAGCTTCCTCCCATCCCCCACCCTACCCCTTGAGTCTCTATTTCTTTTTTTTTTTTTTTAA